GTGCATTTTATAACGAGAAGCTGATGAGACAGGGATAAGAATACCCCAAAAAAATACAAATCTGAATCATTCATCATCAATCGCCGCGGGTCAAACTGTGACAATTACCAATGATTACATTTCCTGTAGGAAGAGAATCTCTCCGGAATATTCACATTTCAGAATTCATTTTAAGACAGAAACAATTTCAGAAAAACTTCAATGAGCCGGTTTCGTTTGTGTTGTCTGAGTTACAGGCATCTCCCCCTGGAAGGTAGCTGAGGTAAACACAGATGATCAACCCACTGCCTCGGCCAATCAGAAAGGGTTTTATCACCCGGGCATGCCCACGAAAAACCTGTTTCAACACTGTTCTAACATCACGGCTTTGCCTCAGGTGCAAGAACAGCGCAAATGTTTGCCGACTCCAAACTCCTTTTTTTATCAGAGAAATAACATTTTCCAGCATGTCCACTTTCACACCGCATTTGCAGAAGGTTACACCCACGTTTGGAAACAATCGCTCCTTTCACGCTGTCCATTAAACCCATGCGAGGATCATCACATGCAAATTGCAGAGCTCCTACTTAAACCAGCAGAGCAGCCGCTCATCTCGGTTCCAAACATTGCTTACAGATGAGCTCATATCTATGCCAAAGTGGGGTTTTATGAGGATTTTACAATTGAGGTACATGCCTGGTGTCTCGGTGAGGTCTAACTAAACAAAGAAGGCCCTATTATTCTTTCACCTCTTCCCTCTCTGGATTATTCTGAACAGATCAAGAGATTAAACCCTTTCCTTTGCCATCAGGTTACTGAAACTCTTCCCCCTCTGGTTCTCCTCGCACCCTGTGAGTGCCTGGGAAAGCACACAAAACCCTCCACTCCATGACCTAAAACATCTGCTGCTAATATGGGTCAGTTTTATCCCCAGGTCTCCTCAAGAAAGAAAGAAAAAAAAAAAAAGTCCCACGCATGACGACCAAATGAAAAAAAACACAAATGGCATGAATCAGCCGAGGCCGCGTGTTGTTTTCCCAGCACTTGTAACAACAAGCCGGGGCACCTGCTGAGCTGTGAGACATCTACACCGGGACACCCGTCGGTTCTCCTCCGCTCCAAAGAAAGAGTCTTCCTGGGTTAGGGTCAAGTGAGGAGAGGGTTAGGAACCCACAGAGCATTCGACCGTACAAACAGAAGTCAAATTATCGTGTCTGGGAAGCTGTATTTGTTTCGTCTGTTGTATGATCGGCCCGCTGAAGACTCAGACCTGGGTAATTGGTCGGGAATATATATTTTTAAGATTGGCTATCTTGCTTCAACCTTGAGAATCCAATAAATTTCAGCAATTTAACGAGGATATATGTCGCTGAGACCTGATAACCTCATAATTCCCATTCAACATGCAGTAGCGCATACAGTTCAACTCAGTCTGCGTTTATGCCAATTAAAGAGCTTTACTTGTGGAAAATTCACCAAAAGCTGCTTTGCCAGAATCCCACTCGCAAAAGCTATCTTTTAAAGAGTGCTTTCCAAACAAACCCTGAGCCCTTTCTTATCAGGCGCCTTGACATGGCCAAACAGTGAGAGCTGTGCTGATAGGGGGCCTTCGGAGGAGAGCAAACATCTGGGCCTGACATGAGCGAGCAGCTAATTGTTTGTCGGGCCTTGATACGCGGCGCATGAGGCAAAGCTATGAGGCAAGCACTGATAGAGACGGCCGTCAGTTTTTGCCGAACTTTCTCTCACGCCGTCTGCGTGTCGGGGCTTTAAATAGGACTCATTGTTGCCTGATTGTGGGCCGGCGCCGTTTGTTGTGTGGCGGGTAGATGTCAAAAGAAAAACGCTCCTATTTTCACGGCACATCCAGAGAAGTTCAACGTAATCTGACACAAGCCCTTTAATTCACTAATGCCCCAGCTCCGGGGCTCTTTAAAGTGTTTTATTCTTCTGCTGTGGTGCATGGAGACCTTTGTAGTCCCGCGTTACAATTAATTTTCTGTTCGTTTTGCGGCAGGAAGAAACTTTTCCTCTGTGAATAGTCTTCTTGTTCTGAAGTGCTACCCTCTCCTTCCTCAGACGATGTGTGACCGCTGACCTCTTAATACGGAGTTTTTTACGCAGCTGACCTCTTGGCTTTTGCGTCTGTGTATTTATGTCTGAGAAAATAGTGGAATTATGACACTTAACGCTGTCGCCTGCGTGCGTGTGGGGCAGCTTTGTGAGCAGTGGGACGACTATTCAGACTCCAGGTCAGTTTATGGCGCCCTTCTCTCTTGTTTAATAGCCGCACACTGAGACATATTCACATTGGCATGCCATTAAAACAAAAAAAAGCTTGTTGTATTTCAATGGACATTACAGTCCCGAACAGATGAAAACTATTTAGAACCAAATCAGTAACATCACGTAACTGGATGAGTAAGATTTCATTTACAGACTCATTGAAATGAGGCTGGAAAAACTTCAGATGCATCGATAACTGGTTTATATTACAGGTGGGGACATTTCTTTAAACGGGAATGGCTGCCCCCCTCCTAGAGAGCAAGTGTTATAAATCATTGCTGGCTCTGAATAATGGGACAGAAACATCTTGTCCTAAGTGTTATAAATGCCTTTGCCTATGGTGCTAAAGCCCTGGTGTGTTTGATTTTCCTTTTTCATAGATCCGTTGTGTGAAACAGATCTTTTGAATAGAAAAAAAATATCTTTTTGTAATCATTGGAATATACACCCCAGATGTCACTCTATCAAAACAGATGGTCTTAAAGCACAATCAATCAATTCATGAATGACAAAGAGAGTTGCAAAGAAAAGGTAACAAAATCTATATCGGCAGGAAAAAAAGCTTGGGACCTTCACAGGCCAATTAAAACATTTTATGGTGTATAGCACTTGCAACAGCCTTGACCTGTGCAGGTATATAGCCTCCGCTGTCCGTCTGGGTGTCCCACATGTGTTAGTCGGTGCTCATCTATCTACGAGGAAAAAAACCTTGCACCGTCATCTGTTAGAGTTTAGGCTTCCATACAGGGAGCCAGAAGTGGCTTCTTTGATTGTCTTCCTCATGTGTGGTCACAGTGGTTTGACTTTGCTCTTTTTGGCTCAATCAAGAGTGCTTGGTTTCCATGAGGTCCAACTCCAGAAAAACACAAAGCTGCCCACTACAGTCGATGCGCAATCAGGTTCCCTCTTATCTACTTGGCCTGGCTGGATGCGGATGTTAACCAGTGCCATATCTTAATAATGGTGCTCCGGTTAATTGCCTCCTTTGGTTGTGGTTGGATTTATTTTCTCTATCTGCAAATGAGGTCGGAAAAGGCATATGGATCCTGTTTTGAGCCTGGCCTCACTGAGTTCTAATAACAGAGGTTTGGGACAATTGCAGGCAATCCTGAGATCAAGACACTTGTCGTTGGCCCTTCATGTCGTCACAGAGCCATCTCTTTGAACACGGAACTTATTGATCGAGAGTCTAATTTAACCACGGATTTTATTCTCTAGAATTTTCTAAGTTGTTTCGGAGTGCTTTAGAGAGCGTTTTTTGACCTGGTAACAATTTTTATGACTCAGTTCCCCTTCATAAGGCTATGATTTACACATTCACTGGGCGTTCGCATCTGATGCTCACATCGTTAGACCTGATTGCAGTATGATATCTGAATGGCTCCGGGGCAAGTCAGCAACCCGTCTGAGTTGCATGCAAATCCGAAAAATAACAAGCGCCCGCGATTTGGTTAATCACGTTCCACACCATGACTGGCCCGGACCGACCAGGCCCGGAAAGATGGCGGCAGTTGAGAAGCAGCCCACAGCTTAAGGACTTCCAGTGACACGGCATGACAGAAATTGAAAAATTTATCTGACAAATGGACTATGATGCAAATATGAGTCTTTGGAGATGGAGATCCGCGTAGATCGAAGGTTACCGAGGGCAAACTGGGTCATCTTTTGTTGCTTCCTCCCCCACCTCCAACCCGTAAGACCTTCTTTTACCATAAGGGGGTAAACTGTCTTTTCTTTCAGGCTTCTCTTCATGCATAAATAAACCTGTGCACTCCTTTCACCAGCCAACCCTAGGACCTACACAAGGGAACAGAAGGTCTAAGAGCATTCCTCCATGAGGACTTTCCCCTTTTTAACTTTGCTTTGATTTTACGCTCTTTATGCCCCCCTACAGCTGTGCTGGTCCTGGACAAGAGACTCCAATACCTGATGAAACAATAGTGGGGGCTGTGCTGACTGATGGAGCTAAACTGAGCTCGGGGGTGCAGGAGGAGATCGTATTGTCTTCCCACTTCAAACCGCCCCAAAGGAAAATAGAGAGACGGCATTCTCCCCAGTTTTTCTGCAAACCAAATCAAATTAGCTGCAGTGGAGTCAAGTGTCCTCTTAAGCCTTTGTTGTTCGCCAGGGCCTTGCTGTTGTGTTTCTGCTGTCAAAGCCGAGGACCTGCACTCCCTGATCTCCAACCCCGTCACTCTTAATGATGCCTTCCAGGCACCAGGGCCCGGAGGTCAGGTGTAGCTGCACGGGGCAAAACTCTGCTCAGCCCCATGACTTTACCCAGAAGTACAGCAGAAGCTTCAATCAGATATTTTTTTTGCTTGATTGTTTTTTTTCCCACCTCCATGAACAATTAGAAGGGAAGTTAGTGAACGACCATGAGGTCATTCAAAAAGGACAGAAGGCGTTTCGGAGTGGAACCACATGAAACGCACCTTCTAGACCATATTTACGATGTTTAGCATTTTTACAAGATATCAAAATTCTATTACTTTAAACTGTATGTATACCAATTAAAATCACAACAAAGTAACGCAACGGGCTTTTATATAAAAGTGTGTTTTTCCTCCTTCATATATAAACTAATCTACTTAAGTGGAAACCCGAACTCAGTGAGATATATATAAATCAACTTTGTGCATAAAAGCCTAACCAAAAACTTTCAGACCTTGAGAAAAATAAAAACAATGAAAAGTGAAGCATGCAAAACCGTAAGAGGCTGGAGTCCAGATACCCAACAGATGGTTCAATACTGACCCCTAGTGTATTTTTAATGTAACATACACATTTTAAAACAAACATTTTGCTCCAAAAAAGACTTTCAAACCATCACAGTGGTACAGTGGTGAAAGACATCATGAATTTTTCATGCTTTTACTCATGTAATAACTCATTTTCTGATGCACATTGGGGGCTCTTCTCCTCCCACCCCCCGAAGGGGTGCAAAGCTGGCAAACTGGGTTTTGGATTGGGTATCTGAAGCCCCGCTTTGGCATCTTCACTGCGGGAATGTGCTCTCTTGATCGGAAAGTATCTTTTTGCTGCGTCCGGGGCAGTGGAAACGTCTCTGGTTCGAGCTGTGCTCGTCCCGTTTTCCCTGGACGCCTTCTTCAGAATGGGGACACAGGTATTGGGCCTCCTGTGACGGCCACCGTGGGCGAGCGGCAGCTGGGTCTGGGCCTGCTGTTTTTGGGCATCTGGAGGACCCCAGGAGTCCCGCAGCCTCGCGTTGCTCTCCATGTTGATGCTGACTTCGTCCATGCGTAACATCCTCTGCATGGCGCCGACCCGGAGGAGGATGGAGTCCCGAGACAGACGGTGGTGAGGCCCTCTCTTTTTCATCCGTTCACCGGTGGCCTTTTCACTTTGCATCAGTGACAGGAGAGCTTTCTCGCTCTGCGCACATTCTGGAAAGGAAGAGTTTCACTTAAAACAAAGATCATTCGCTATCCAGCATGTTTGTATGTTTCCAAACAACTGAGCATAATTACCTTTTGTTTGAGATTTAGTAATGGTAGGCTTTATTTGTGATTTCAACGTGTGTTTCTGAATCTTTTGTGTGTTTGAAATCATGTCGCCTCCCCCTATGCTCACGCAAGACTTTCCGGACTTTCTGAACTGGTTTGAACTCTGAGCTCTCTTGGGTGACTCAAAAATCAAACTATCTTGATCTACCACCTTCATGCGGTTCTTCTGGGTTGAGCCTGTGTAATCCCAAAACACTTTGGCAAACTGTAAGAGCAACACACTGCAGGTGGTGTTCACTAATATACTGAAAAGAGTGAGAAAATCACGTACAATTACAATCACCACAATATTGCAAAAGAAATATTCAAAATAATTAGATTCTACTACATTATATTATATCATATTATTGCTTGTTCTGCTTTAAATCAGTGAAAATTCAATGGAAACCAAAATCCCAAAAAGAAAGAATAAGTGAAAAATGTATTCTTCTTTAAATAAACTTTGAATCAAGAGAGCAGCCGCACATCTACACATTTAACATGGTTGCATTTGTCTTGCTACCCCTAACCAAACCAAGAATTTATGATCACGGAGGCTGATTTATTCTTAAATTGATCAACTGACTTAAAGAAAGGTTATTAATTTGCAGTTCCACTCTATTGTGACCTTACTTTTGAGTAGACATGTAAATCTTGTTCCGAACACTTTTAAGTCTAACTCACCTCTGGTCATAAAAGTGTAGAGACATTATGCTGCTTGATTCGGACTCTGCTATCATTTCTCTCAAACAATCTCCAGTGAGGAAATTGAATATGCGAATTTTTCCATCAGCACAGCCAGTAACAACTCGGAGGTACATGAGGGTCAGAGATCTTACTTCACTGAGGGAAAACAGAAATGGCGATGAAATGATGACATTTTAAGAACTTGAATTAACTTTCTTGGCAGCCTCACGTCTGCCCCAAAGGTTTCTGACTTACGATGGGTGATTGAAAGTTTTGAGACACTCTTCAGTATCACAGCTGACACTCCATGCCATGACTTTCCCACTGGAGTCCCCAGAAAGAAGGTACCATTCGTTGAAAAACAAACATTTCACCGAGCTTTTGTGGCCATCAATCGTCTTTGGAAAAGTAACGCAAAGCACGGAAATGAACAAATAAAAGGATTTTCTCAGTGATTTATGACATCATGATGAGTGTCGTCTCACCCTGAGCAGAGATGCCGTCTCCATGCTCCATATTTTGACCACGCCTCGGCCACAGCTGCTATACACCGTTCTTTTGTCGATCTTTACACAGTGGACAGAACTTTGGTGCTTGAAATTCAAATTCTTAAAAGGTCTCCATGTCTGTAGACTCCACACTGGGAAAGCAGTGGTTCATAGTTTATGTTATAATTCCAACACAACAGACTAGCTTTCACTAAAAAGTACGTTTTTTGTTAGAATTTCTGAATAAGAAAATTTTAAAAACAAATTTGTTTAAAAATATTACTGAACATAGAGCCAGTAATGTATGTAAAAACTATCCTGTTCATCCAGGGGATGCATACCTTTTACTGTATGATCTTTAGATCCTGAGACAATCTTATCATCATGGATGTCCAGACAGTTGACGGTGTCAGTGTGTCCATAAAGTACCATCTCACACCTGTATGTCTTCAAACTCCAACCCCTGAACGAAAGGCATAACAAAAATTAAAAGGGATCCAGGCACAGCTGAGGGCGTCAGCGTTACGATTCCTTTGTGTGAGTTTATCTGTAATCCCTCCGTATAATTCTTATCAGGATGAGGGTTATTTGAAGGCGGGCTTAATCCTGCCCTCACCTGATGCTGGCATCACAGCCCGCAGACAGGAGCAGATCTCTGTCCTCGCAGAGCAGCACGGCCCGGATGCTGCCGACGTGTCCTCTCAGCGACGCCACCGTTTTGATCCCGGACGCCATGTAAAGCAGGTGCACCAAACGGTCCTTTAAGCCCGTGGCCATCAGCGGCCCGCCTCTGTAGTCCAACACCCGCTGAGAGTCCTCCCTGCCCAACGCAAGCACACATTCACACCCGCATCCCGTCAATCGGAGGCCTCAGAGACTCGACAAACAAGATTCCCACTTCAGAAGAAGAGGAAAAACGAATGCACTGACTCGTCCAGCAGCGTTTTGGTGAAATATCCGCCGCAGTAAACATTTCGCTCTTCCATTTGAACCGTTTTAGTTTTGATTTTGGCGTTAGCAAATGGCTTGACCTATGAAAGAAATCAAATATGGAGCAGTCAGAGTATTGATCATTCCAGGAGCCAAAAGGTGCTGTTTGTAGAGCTTTAAAATGAATGCATACGGACCCTCTGCTCAGCAGGATGACCATCCTCCTCCTCATCATCCCTTACCGGTACTGTGAGTTCAACAATGTTGGCGTAAGTGGGACTGACTTTATCATTGCTACAGCAGCCCTGGAGGAGAAAATAAACACAGTGCTTAGCCTTTTTTTTTTATCTTCAACGTATTGTATGATTCAGAAACATCAAGATGTCTGCGTTAATTCTCATCCTCAAAAGTCTGAAAAGCATCAAAACATTTAGATGTGAAAGGCATTTAGTCGTCATTTAACCTCCACAATGGTCTGTATTTGTTCCTGAAAAATCTTTCTGAACTTCATCTCCTGAATGGTTTCCTCTGAAAGCTGCTTCCAGCACCGGCAAACCCGCCTGCATCGTCTCAGAGTTTGCTCCTGTAGGAGACCTGGACGAAGACATTCATTCACAGCACGTCTTTTCAATAAAGACAGGACATGGTTTTTCTAGATTGAGCCGTTTCCTTGTATAGCAGTTCATATTCCACCACAACAACAAAAGCAGACAGCCTTTCCACCCACAATCATCTTTTAAAAATCGCAAACATGAGTTAAAAGAGGAAAATAGACATAAATTGGTTCAGTTGACTTGCCTAAAATCCTTTTGGACAGATCGACGGGTAGAAAACTAATGAAGTCTTTATACTGGCTAACTCCAGACACGGACTTGGAAGATCCAGGAACCACCATGAGAGCAGGATGTTCTGTGTCCAGGGCACGTTTATTTTTATTGGGATTACTCACTGAAAGAAATGCATGACAGCTGCTCTGTAACAACATAGAATGTTAACCCGGGCTTTAAAACACTTGAAAAAACGTGCAAAATCGTGTTAAGCAGAAATGACTTAATAGCTAACAAAAGTGAACTAACTAAAGTTCAGTTCTTGAAATGTTTTCTTGTGATCAGTCTAGAATATATTTGCAATGTGGCGGCCTCTAGTGGTCAACAGTGAGAATACACACCTCCTGAAATTCAAAGGGGAAGCGAATTGCAAAGGATTACCAATATAGTCATGACAATGATTTGCAATTTTACTGACAATCTTACCACCAAATGGCCGAAAGCCTCGTTTCTGTCTGACCAGAAGCACGCTGGTTAGGTTACAGAGCATGCGCAAAAGCTCAATATCGCACAGAGAAAAAATTCGGGAGAGATAACACGACTTCATCCAAGCTGGGCTGCAGTTGAACCACCTCCAGATTTCATCCGTGTCCATGCCCAGAGGTTTTCCATCACACTTTGTGGGTGGGCTGTTCGTGGGGTATTCACGGGGCGAAATTGGGCTTCTTGACCTGGCGTACTTGAACCACCCCCACGACGTAACACTCAACTGTCTCTGGATGTTTTCGAGGAGGTGTTCGTCTTTACATCTTAAAAGCAACGCCACCGCGAATTTCCTCTTGAACTCGTTCGAAACCTTCCACTGAAGCTGAGTGGAACCCGGCGGTTTTGGTGCAAAGACGCAAGAGGGACACATCCCGCACAGTTTGAGGCATTTCTTATAGTTGTATTCACACTCTGAGGTATTTTCGCGGACTTGAGCAGGTTTCATGTTGACGCTGCGAGTAGGTTGTTGTACTTTGTATGGGCTCCGTAGTTGCTAGGCAGCAGATTTGTTTTGATTTTTTTTTCTTTCCGCATCACTTAATCGACCGTAGACCAGTGTTGCCAACTCCTCAGTAAGGAAAGTAGCTATTGGCTCTGCTAAAAGTCGCTAGAAGTCGCCAAATGACGTCATCGCCTAATTTGCATAATCTGCCACGTGACGTGATGTGCTGCAGGGGCGGAGCGGCACCGCGTGATCATTTCGGCCGTCAATCCCGGCGCATGCGCGTTTCATTTGCAGTCCGGACGCTGAGGGTAAACATGCTGTGGGTCCTCCCCACCCCCCTAATAAACCGGAGGGACTGGTTTTAACGCTGGACGGTCGCTCTTTAAGGAATAAAAAATACCAACGGGCTGCAAACTAAGAAGACCTTACGAGACGAGGACGAAGAAGTGTCTGGAAGCAGCTGTGGACGCGGAGCGGTTCTCTCTAAATGAGACGGAATGGACGGCGGCGGGGATAACGTGGCTCATGAATCTGCGGGTAGCTACACAATTCTCCTGTTTGTCTTTAGCTGAGGACGCATGCTTAAAACATAAAGCTAGCAGCTACCTTACCTTCTAACGCGGTATTACACTATAATAAAGTTTACTTTGGCCGTCTTGAGAAAAACGTGAAAGTGGGGCTCCACCATCTTTTGATTTCTGGGGTTTTACTTGCGCGGGAACGATGAAAACGAATCCCGTCCTCAAACTAAACGAGTTCGATATAAACCAAGAAAGCAAAAACGCCTCTCGTTCAGTTAATTATTTAGCAAAATTCAGGAGTCTGGAGCAGGAGTGTGTTTACACAATGTCAAGGAGGAAAGACATCAGCCATAACCTAAGAGTCATCTGGATTCCACCACCCCTTAGAGAGAGAGTTTATTCACAGGTGAAGACATTCAGGATGGCTGCCAGTTTGTCCAACAAGGTCACCCCTAGCTCATCCATCACAGATGATCCGAGCAGGTTCTGCAGCACCAGGACCTTAAAGTCCACCAGGAACCCCCCAGGAACCCAAAGTGTTCAGAGTCAGACGGGAGGCCGTCTGTCCCACAGCTGAAGCTGGAGCCAGCCCCCCAACAGGACTGAGATCCAAACCCGGCAGCAGAGCCGTGCAGGAACCTCCATGAGCTGAATAGCTACAGGCAGCAGAGAGGGACAAAAGTCCTCCACAGCCATCGCAGAGACTGAGAGACCACCAGAAACCAGTTTCTAAACTGGCTGCTTTGGGTCTGCTCTCAGTTTTTGTTCCATAAATAAACCAGACAGTGTCTTCTGTCACATGATCCTGTGCTCTCTTTAGGTTCCCTCAAATTTAGAACCTGACAGGAACCAGATGAGGAGGGAAAAGGAAATGTGTCCATTTCAGGAGCATAGTTTGATGACATTGTTGTGGTTGAACTGATGGTTTTTATGTACAGCTGTCGATGGCTCAGCTGGTCCACAGATTTCTTCCTCACTAAACTTTGTCTTCTAGGAAAGGACAGGTCCAGACGATGGATTACTCGGGGGACCTCGTGAAAGTGACCTCATCAAACGGGTCGCAGTGGACGGCCCAGAAGGTAGAGGCTCTGAAACCGGCCCACTGGGTTACAGGACCAAAGGCTCTGGGTTCAGGTTGATCTCTCAAGCAGCAGATGACAAAAGATTTCACCTCTGATCCGGTTCAGTTAAG